AACCTGTATCTCAGGTGTATGTGCTAAAAGATACACTAACAAATATTTTCTGTTTCTTATATAAAATGAATAACGCATAATAAGGGTTATTTGGGTAAAATATATTATCACTAATTTACGATGATATATATATATATATATATATATATATATATATATATACATATATTATGATAATAATTAACTTAAAACAATCAGCAACTTCTCCGTATCATCGTATGACAAATTTTGTAACCATGTTCGAATTACCATTTTACAGTCTGCCATTTCTAACGGATATACGAGGGGTGATCCAAAAGTAATGATAATGAAAATAAAACACGGTAATTAAAGATAAAATAGTAATTTATTTTTCTACATAGTCTCCTAACAAATCAGTACATTTAGTCCATCTTTTTTCTAAACCCAGGATTCCCTTTGAAAAAAATTCTTTGTCTTGACCCTCCCAAAACGCTTCAACAGCGGCCATTACTTCGCTATCGTCTTCAAGACTACTACACCGTCATTTTGGTTATATACATTTTTACTACTAAAAGTATTGTAACCTGGCAGTAATGGGAGGTTGCTTTGGCTTTTAGATAGCCAACATTCTGTTAGTATGATGATGTCGCAGTCAAAAAATCTTAACCACTAAGTCACTGAATTCTTCTCCTACCGTCGCCGAATCATTACTTAAACAAAATGTAAATGTGTGTACAAAGAATTTTACATTTCATAAAGTTTCATCAAAAGATATTGTAAAATATTTTAAGACTATTGATATTAAGAGAACCGCCGATCTGTAGGGGATTTCTGTTGAAGTTATTGCGTCTATAATAGATACAATCGCACCTCAACTATCTATTATTTTTAATAGTAGTATCAAATCTGGTGTGTTTCCTGATTTAATGAAGCATAGTAAAGTAATACCTTTATTTAAATCTGGTAGTACATTGGACCCCGCTAATTTTAGACCTATTTCTGTACTGCCAACACTTAGTAAAATTTTTGAAAAAATTATTCTTGATCAATTGTTAATTTTTTTTAATGTAAATAAATTACTTCATAAAAATCAATTTGGTTTCACAAGGGGTCGCTCGACAACTGATGCTGGTGTTGAGCTGATTAAATATATATTTAATGCATGGGAGAATTCACAGGATGCTTTGAGTTTGTTCTGTGACCTATCCAAGGCCTTTGATTGTGTTCACCATGAAACATTAATCAGGAAACTTCAACACTACGGTGTAAGAAATGATGCTCTTAAATTAATTATTTCATATTTAAGTGAAAGAACACAAAAAATTGTTATTAATAGTATGAGTTCTTCTGGGTCGATTGTACAAATGGGCGTGCCTCAGGGCTCAATTCTTGGCCCCTTTCTGTTTCTTGTATATATTACTGACTTACCTTACATAGTAGGGGATAACCATGATATAGTATTATTTGCTGATGATACTTCATTAATTTTCAAATTAAAAAGACAGTTATTAAATTACGACGAAGTAAATAATGCTATAGCTAAGTTATTCAATTGGTTTAATGTTAATAATTTGCATTTGAATGGAACTAAAACTAAATGTATGAAATTCGTAACTCCTAGTGTTAAACATGTCAATACTAATGTAATTTTAAATGGGGAGGAACTGAGTCTTGTTGATACCACCATTTTTCTTGGAATCGCACTGGACGCAAAGCTTCAATAGCTCCCCCATATATCAAAACTAGCTAGCAGACTTAGTTCTGCAGCATATGCTGTAAAAAAAGATTAGAACTCTTACCAGTGTTGAAACAGCTAGAATAGTTTACTTCAGTTATTTCCATAGCATTATGTCGTATGGTATTTTGCTATGGGGACACGCGACTGACACTGAAATTATATTTATTTTACAGAAGAGGGCCATTAGAGCAATATATAATTTAAAACCAAAAGAGTCACTGAGACAAAAATTTAAAGAAATTAATATATTAACTCTGGCCTCTCAATACATTTATGAAAATGTAATGTACGTACACAAAAATAAAAGTAGTTTTGCGAAAATAAGTGATATTCATTCTGTAAATACTAGGAACAGACACAAGCTGGTAGTACCAGTTACTCGACTCCACCGAGTCAGTAATTCATTCTTGGGGCGATGTATACGCTTTTACAACAAAATCCCAGAAAATATACAAAATTTGTCATACACAAAGTTCAAAAATGTTATTAAACTAAGTTTGTATAAAAAGGGTTATTATAATATTAAGGAATTTATAGATGATAATAACCCCTGGGAAGGGTGATCGCTACCAAGCTATTTCTAATTTGTCTTGTGTTGTTGATTGTAAACATGATTGTAAGCTATTATTGGAAAAAAATAGTCCCGCTGGGTTTCTTGCTGGTTCTTCCCAGGACAGAGGTTTTTTTTTGCGAACCAGTGGTAAATTAAAAAAGTGACCTTCAATAAGTATTTTTATAATCTACATTGAATAAAAAAGTTTCTATTTCTATTTCAAATGTACAATCTTCGAGGGAGGATATGGAAATTATCTAATAATAACAATATTTAAAAAATATATAAACTAAACTTAAACTTATTAGTAACTTATAAATTAGGGCAAAAAGAATTTAGGTAAAAGGTGGCGCTCTTAAAATAATAGGAAAATAGGTATATTAATCTATGGAATTAATATACCTATTTTCAGCCATCTTCCTAGCCGGGCATTCGGGGTCACCTGTTTTATAGTCGCTCGGTTTTTTAAAACGCAGGCATGTTGCACACTTCGCTGGATCAGTTTTCTTAATGCAAGCATTTGACTGCTGTCCTAATTCACCACAATGTCCACACGTGTCGATTGTTTCCCGGCAAGTTCTTGCAGCGTGTCCATACTCTTGGCATTTGAAGCACCTGGTCACAAATGTGAAGTCTTGAACTGGGCACGACGTCCAATTTATGAAGACTCGCTTCTGGTTGATAAGTGCCTTTCTGATGCCAGCTGGCACTACTAAAATAAAGTTGCATGAAAGTGTTTGTTTTTTACCCGATTTGTGACTTAGTTTTATAGAGGACAAAAAGGATTCCCGAGTTAAATTAGGGATCTTATCGGCTAAATTTTGTTCAAAAATGCAGTCCAAGACTTCTCGTTCACTAAGGGCGGTAGGTATTCCTAAGACTATAATCCTTGGTCTTCTTTTATGGGGCTCTTCCACCTTTAGTCCGGAACTACTAAGCTGGGTAGATTTTTTTAACTTTTCAATGTCTTTTGAATCAGTGTTGATAATAACGCCTCCATTTTTAGGTTTTCGTAGTCCTCTTACGTGTAGTTTCAATTGTTCGGGGCATATAATTTTCTGGACAAGAGATTTTTTGTCTTCACTTGTTTTTAATTTATTCTCAGGGTAAATTGCTATGGAACTGAATGTATTGGGGCGCAAGTAATTATTTTTGTTGTTTTGACCATATCAGCAAAGGACATTTTTTCTGTAGATGGTTTGGCACAGCTTTCTTGAATCGTTTCCTTGAGTGATTTTCTAAAATCATTTAGGCATCCCATTAGGTCTTGTTTTTCTCCCAGTGCTTCAAGAGAGGTGTGCATTAAAATAGCCTTTTGCTTCAAAGATTGGTAGTAAACTGCCATCTGAGAGGCTGCATTACCGACCTCGCGCGATAGGGAATTGATTCTCAGCTTTTGTTCAGAGTTCAGTTTTCCTTCCTGAGCAATATGGCAAACTTCATTTAGACACTGCTCGATTGAGGTCATCCAATTTTTTATTTCACTGGTTGCTAAAAATTCGATGGGGTCTGCAGCATCCCAGTGTGGTGGTTAAGGCGTGCTGGGCGGAAACTCCGATTGAAAGGACTCTTTTCGTATGTATTAGACATGTTTTATATCAAATGTTTTTCATTATAATTTGTTATTCGTGAAATCACAACTCAACAGAAATTGTCCAATGGTTTATCTAGGTCACAGTTTTATTGAAAATATTTAAACACTTGTATTGCTGATTGGCACGACTGCTCGATTCGAGCTCCGTAAGTGTATGCAATATGAAGTTCTATCCAAATTCTTTGCCTTTTAGTAAATGCTAATGCTACACGAGCATCAAAATAAAAATCTTAATCCTATTATTCCAAGCTGTCTAGCAAATGTAGAAGCAATATACGCCAACTCATGGTAATACTCTCTATAAACTATCCGTTCCAAAAAACACTTCAAGTAAGTTTGAAGTATTTCGACTGAATGTATCATTTCGTATATTATGGATGCCATACACGATCCAGTTTTCGTTTGCAGCGGCTTCAAGCGGTGTGATACTTTCAGATAGTTAAGTTTTTAAACGCGGATAAAATATTTTTTTATAGGAAAAGGGTGACAAGCGAGCACACAGTCCACCTGATGGTAAGTGGTTGCTGTGGCCCATAGACATCTACATTTATCTTCGTTTGCGAATCAAAATGCAGATGCGTTGTCAGCCTTGAGGACTAAGATGGAATGCCTCTTTTCCAGTATAAAGGGTCTCCGGTTCTCTACACTCACCATACAAACAGCAGCATAAAGCCGCTATTTGACGCCGGTATTCTGTGAGAGCGTGGTCCTTCCCCGGTCGAGCCGACCCATTCGTGCTAGAACTATACAATAAATATAGCTGCAGCATGGCTCTACCACAAAAAAATTAAATCGTATCTCCGTAGTCTGTGACTTATTTTAGTCATATTGCTTAATCATTTAAGGCTTTTAAAGATGAAAAAATACCAATAATACTATTATTTCAAATAGAAACCGTTTAATTATAATTTTATCTTATTTACCAATTTTCTCCTAAACGGTCACGATTTCAAACAAAACAACAAAAATTTGTCCCTAAGGTAAGTGGTCTTAATTTGATATGGTTGATTTCATCATTTCACCTCCTACAGCCTAAAACGAATAATTCAGCTAGTGAATATCACACTAATTGCAGTTTGTAGGGACCCCTAAACCTACCCCGATACCAAAAATTCAAATTCAACAAAAAAACATTCTACCCTTTAACAGTTCTTTTACAAGATTCCCATTTTAATATAGTCGTTGATGACATCGTTGAACCTTTCTGCAAACAAATCACTCGTTTTGATCCCGAGGAAGTGAGTTGCTAAGTCGCTGCCAATCTTCGGTACGTTTTCGACATCGAGCGTTACGAAAGGGAGACCGATGATGGCTACTAGTAGACCGAATGGCTGCACCTGTAAAATGAAATTCGTTGCTTATAATAATGAATTATAGAAGCGATTCACGAGTAGTCTCAACGAAGGCTAATTCTTAAGGCGACACCGCGAAAAAGTGCACCTCCTTTCATCGAATAGTATAGGACTATGGCACTACTAACGAAAGTGGAATTTTGATATAGGTAAATTCATGTCTTTATCTTGAATTTAATTGTTCAAAAACACGATTGTATAATTTTGACTCGATCATAATTATTTGCGAAAACACCTCTAAAAAATCACTATAGTTGAAATTACAATGAAATTACTTAATCTATATGTTTGGGAATCACTCAAATATATTCATAACATCAATATTCATTATTTACTTGCTCATTATTTTGATTATTTAAATCAATAATTTATAAAAAAATATTTTAAGATTCTGATTTCTAAGCGGTTTTAATCGTCGCGGACGTTACGCAATTTTAGATCTTAAGACGGCGTTTTTTCAAGTTTTTATAGAAATTATGTATTCACTCGGGTCAGTACGGCGCTAGCCTTTTTTTTTTTTTTAACATGGGGAAATGCCTACGCATACCCGCCTCGCGGGGGCAAGGACGGGTTATGTCGGACTCGCACCGACTAAAACCCCATGGTGTTCCACCTTCGTCGCATATTGGCAGGGCTACGGGAACGCTTTCGCACACTTCCGCGGCCCTACCAGCGACTGCCGCCCCATGGCAGCACCTCCTCGGGAGAGGAATATTCCTCCCCGTTCTACTTCCCAAGTAAGGCGCACCAGAACACATGGCACGCCTTCCTCCACGGCCTCCAATTACATCTGCGCAACAGACGCCCCCGCGTCCGATGCGCGAAGGCCATGGGGCCAGGAAAAGCGAGCACTTAGAAGTACTAGCCTTCCCGACCCCAGCGGCGGATCTGGTCTATGGCTCCGCCGCCAACCAAGATTCGGCTGCGGAGGATAGGGAGAGCGGCGCCTCGCAATACCGACAATCCTCTCCCCCCGCAGCCCCATCACCACCGCATCAACGGTGCGGCCCCGTTTGAGTCGCGGAGGATAGGGCGAGTGGCGCATTGCCATACCAACACTCCTCTTCCTCCGCGACTCCACCTCGGCTGCAGCGGTAGAGGGTGCGGAGTCCCCACTCGCTGCAGTCCACCAGCACACATCCGAAGTGGGCTCCCCAAGCCCACTCGGAGTGGCCACCTCAGGCCGGCCCTTCACCTCGGGCCAGCCACGTGGGTTCCTCTTTGTTCACCGTGGGAGACCAAGCCACGGCTACTAAGCCCCCCCCCGCCACGACAAGGCGGGAACCCGTTCGATAGCCTGGAGCCACTTTTTCGATGTGTTGTCTTAAGTGCATGTCAGTGCATTTATTTGAATTATTATGGCTGATTTTATTTTAAAATTTTTGTTAAGAATACGATTTTATTTGACTAAAATGTTTTACTTCAGTTAAGGTGTGTCCAAACACGACGCGCAAGGTCGCGCGGCATTCGCGGGACACAAATTGCCGCGCGACTAGTGTAGACGTACTGCGGCATTGTCGCGCATGAAAATCGCTCTCGTAAAATCTGCCTTCACTATGATTTTTATTAGAGAAAAGGTAAGGTAAGGTAGCCCCAAATAAAAAACATATTTTTATATTATATATTTTTCCAAAGATAGGCCTACCGTTTTTTAGTAATAAGTTTACAAAGGGAGGCATTTTGGAACTACCTATTTTAAAAAGATACAAATAGCTTTAACTTTTTGTACTGTTAATACAATATAATATGTTTATTCTCTGATGAAAACTACTTTTACTGATTTTATCGCGTTTATTTTACTTTTAATTACTTTTATTTTTAATTCCCGACGTTTCCGGCGCTTTCCAGCACCCATGGTCTGACTGAGATGACTGACGTCCCGATGTCATTGTTAAACCCGGAGTACCTTCAACTTTTTTAATTATTGTTTATGGTCCGATCTATGCAAAATGAACTATGTCCTGAGGTCTTGCAGTGGTATGCTTGGGTTTAGGTTTAATTTTATTGATTATAGGATCCCAAGCAGGTGGTAGTACCCAGCCTCCTTCTCTATTGAAATTAGGATGTTTTTTTAATTTCAATAGCCTCACGTATCATCCTTGGTAGGAATCGGTGTTCTTTCGCGAGGATTTGTGGTCTATCAAATCTGATGTAATGGTTGGGGCCGTCTAGGATATGATCGCTAACTGCAGACTTCCCGGAACGTTGATGCTTCACATCAGCTATATGTTCTTTTACGCGGGTTCTAATTGATTTTTTGTTTGTTCTATATAAAAGAGACCACATTCACAATCAAGCTTGTACACTCCTGCATCTTGTAGAGGAATATGACACTTGACGGATGGTAGGAACTGATTAATCTTCTTCGGCGGCTTATAGAATGTTCTAATAGAAGCTCGCTTCAAGATGTAGCCAATCTTGTCTGTGACACCTCTGACATATGGTAGTACAGCAGGCACACGCTCGACTGTGGCCGGCTTCACTCGGTCACTGTGACGGTTTTTTTTTTGCGCCCGAAGCAAATATGGGCAACCCTCCGGAAAGCGGGGGAGGGAGGTTGGGAATGCTCACACACAGGCTCGTGGTTATGTGGTGACTTTTACCCACTAAACCCACCTTTTAGGAACTGGCTTAACGATCTAACTAGATCTCTAAGCCGTATACGAACGCGACCCTCCTTGGCAGAAAGGAGGGCGCAGGCAGAAAGGAGAGCGCAGTGTGACGAATCGGAAATGCGTTATTTATATAATGTGCATAATTTAAGATGATATAGTTTTGATAAAATAAGATTTAATTTCATAGTATTTATTAATATTGGTACCATTGAATATTGTTTAGCACCACATGCCAGTATTTTTTTACGTTCGAGTAGTCTTCGAAATTTCATAAATGTAGTTCTATTTACGGTGAACGTGTAAGAAGAATTAAATTCGTGAACAGGAGTGGAAATCTACATAAGACGGGCAGCAGCATCTCTCTAATCGTAGCTCAAAATAATAAAAATATCCAGTAAAAATGATTTCCGAAACATTTTTTTACTTCTCAGATATGCAGGTTTCCGTGCGATGTTTTTCTTTACAAATTTCTTTTTCTTTTTTTAAACAAATTTTGGATTTTGTTTAGAAATATTTTAGAATATTTTATTTATTTTAATAAAACACATCAATCGTATAAAATAGACATTAACATCTAAAGGAAGGAAAATACTTAACCCTCCTTTTTTACAGTTTCGTAATCGGATAAAAAGTATCCTATAAGTAGCCCCGAGTCCCTATTACACACAACATTTCATGGAAATCTGTTAAGTAGTTTACGCGTGAATCTTGAATAAACAGACAGACAGACAAACATTCTAAAAACCACTAATTTGGCTTCAGTGGCCTTATTCAGTGGCTTTATTTAGCCCCCTGGGCTTGTTTTTTCCAGAAAATATTAGAATTACAGACTCGACTTTTCTACAGATTTATTAAATGTTTACGTCTAGCATCCCATAACTATAGAAGCCATATATTTCAATAAGACGAATTGCTGTTTTGCTATCCAGTTTACTTAATAAAACACGTCCGTCTACACACAACCACCGGCGAACCAACAGCCATCACTAACCGTTCGGTGTTCGCGGCGTTCGCCGCGCGCGGCAGATAGCTCGCGGCTGCCGCGCGCGGCCGTCGTCCGATTCTCGAATGCCGCGCTATATTTGGACACACCCTAAGGTTTACGTTTTTAATAGCATTGTCAAAGGTTAACGTAAATTAATATGTTATTTTTTTAAAGGGTTTATTAATTTAAAAAAGCTGAAAAAGGATAATGCACGAGAAGAACAATGGTAGATGAAGTTAAAAATGTAAGTAATGTAAAACGGCGTAATAAATTTAAGATTAGTAGTAAACGTTTATTAGGACAAATATGAGCCCATTTTAACATATTTTAAACTTAAGCTAATGTTTATTACATTATGTGTGATTGTTTATTAAATAAAAATATGAATAAATAAAATGAAAAATATACGCATGTATTTTGACATATAAATTCTGTTGTTTTATTTATAATTACCGCAAACGCAATTAAAACAATAATGAATGAAGGTATTTCAGCGACTTTCCGGTACTTTGCGAAACATAATTATGATTTTTACGGAGTGTTGCAAAAAAATGGTGGCCACGTTTGTCTCCAAAACCGGCCATGTTACGACTATTCCTCATGAGGGACAAAGAACGGTTAATGCAGAATGGTATGCTAGCATTTGTTTGCCACAGGTCGTTTCTTAACTCCGTAAAGAGAACTGCAACCGCCGCATCATCCTCCATGACGACAATGCGAGTTCTCACACCGCACACAGAACAAAAGAGTTTTTAGAGCAAGAAAACATAGAATTATTAGACCATCCGCCGTACAGCCCCGACCTTAGCCCTAATGAATAGAAATAATTTCTTTCCCTTTTTCTTCTCTTCCCTAAAATCTTACTTTCCCTAAAATAAAGAATAAATTGCGTGGACAGAGATTTTCATCACCTGAAGAAGCTTCCGAATGGAATGGTTGCTTCAATGATTGGTTCCATCGTACGGAAAAATGTGTCAAATTTCGCGGAGAATACTTCGAAAAGCAATAAATACATTTTTGAATAGTAATGTTGTGTCACTTCCTTGATTCCCGAAATTATCAGGGCCGCCCTCGTAACGTTTAGGGAGAGGTAGGAAGTGCAGAATAAAGTTGCGGCACTTTATATGGGGGGAAGGTCAAAAATCTTTCAAAATTGCGTTACGTAATACTTGAACGCCCCCATAGTTGATGACAACTATCTCCCCACTCCCCAGTCGTGTTGGCATAGTAACCAAAGTTTTTATTCTCTGGTTGTTATTAGGAAGACGCTGATGCCCATCTCATGGTTGTTTTCCTCTACCGTCTTTTTTGGAAGGCGACACTGAAAGTTTTTAGAACTGGCCACTTGTAAACTATATAATAAAAAAAATAAGTTAAAATGTTGA